AGCAGTCCCCGGGCAGGCCCGAGTCCAGGCCCCAGCAGCGGCTGCCGCTCCTCCTCGCTACTCCAGCCGGAGCCCATTACGACGCGCAGCCCGCGGGGCCCCTGCCCGGAGCCGTCCGGGTGTCAGCCGACCAGCCCCGCGCGGATACGGCTGGAGGAGGCGGAGGCCGAGGTTGCTTTGGGCCTCTCCGCCTCCCGGCCGCGTCGGTACGCCTGCGCCGCGCAAGCCGGCCCGGGCGAGGAGGCGGGGCAGGTGCGACCTGCTGGATGCAGCTGGAGTGCCGGACGGCTGCCCCCTCCACGCCAGGTACCGTGGAGAGGAAACCGAGCCTTGGGAGAGCGTGAGGCCGGCGTCCTAGAGCCGGGACCGGGAGGAACTGGAAAGGGTGGGAGGAGCGCGGCTGAGCTCGGAAAAGGAAACTCCCAGAGAGGCTGTAATAGAGGAGGTTGGGCGAGGAACCTGGGACTGCTGGAGGAAGTGTCCAAGTTGACGTCATGTGCCTAATAAACAACTCCGAGATCTCCGGTCACTTAAGCGAATGCTTGCTTCTGTATTAGGTTTATTCTCATTTCTGCTGGGTCTATAACTTCCGAAATTAGAGGGGGAGATTGAGGGACCCATAGGATCGCTGCATGAAAGTCATTTGTTTTTGTGTGTGTGCGGTTAGTACTGCCTGGTTTAATCAGCTGTTTTTTTGTGTGTGTGCTTTACATACCCAATAAGGAAATTATAAACGAGTCAGTTTCATTCATTCATGTATATACACATGATATAGAACTCTTTTGCTTGACATTAATAGGAGAGAAATAAAGATATGCTGATTAAAGCTGGAACATTTCTGCCCCCAAATGACCTAGATCCAGCTCCAGTTATTATGATTTTGACCAGACGAAGAGTAAACGAGGAGGGTGGAGGTTGCTGATCTCTTGATTAAGCAGCCGGTTGTTTATTTTGATACACAATCCAAAAGCCTGACAGCTGTCAGTTAGTGTCCTTGAAAACCTAAGTCAAGCGATTTGGCTTGTTTGGGTCGGGAAATGAGTCAAAGGGAACGCAATTAAAGTACATCTGCCTGAGGTTCACATTCCCCCGCAGCCAGGAAAACCAGATGGTCATGTTGCTGCCAGAGGGGAAGAGAAGAGGAAGAGAAGCGTAAGCGCTCCTGGTATCCAAGGCTGGAAAGAGCGGCTACAGGGTAAGCAAACGCAGAGCCACTTTCCACTGCCCTGAGCCTCACAAAAAAGCAAACCATCCCCTAAAACTTCAATATTGTTGTGCGGAGGAAAGCGCCAAGGCGAAAAGGAAGGACTTGACCGGAAAACAAACAAACAAAAAAAGTAGAAACGAAGCCAAGACTACACTGAAAGCCTGCGGTCTGGAGAAGGTAAAAAGCGCCACAACCGAGACCACGTGCTTACGTTTCAACCACCGGAGAATCAAAACAAACCTGCGTGGCCCCGCCCGGTGCCCGTCACGTGACTTTCACGCGCGCCGCGCTTCCGGAAGAGCCGTGTAGCAACCGCTGCGACTCCTTCCTGTGCTGCGGGTTCAGAGCCCGGATTTGGCATTTCTTGGACCAGGCTCCCGCTCCACTTCGTTTTTGGGTTCTGGTGGAGCCCGCGTACTGCAAGCCATGGCAGCGGACGCCGGGGCGATCACTGATGCGGGCCCTGCGTCTGGAGCTGGAGAGGTGGAAGGTAGGTGTTAGGCAGAAGTCAGACCATGAGTACAACCCCGTGCCTGCTGACGCTTGGCACCTCTCATGTGGCCGTTTGTCTCGCTGGCCCTGCAGTGAGCTGTGAGAACAATTATTTGTTTTCTGGTGAACGTGGCTTTTTTCAAATTGTGGCATCCAGATTTTCGATCATCGTGCAGGTCTGGTATCCCTCCATCCCACCCTTGAGGTAAATGCAGATCTCTGGGACTTTTGTTAACAGGATTATGATTTAAGTGGAATCCTGCTTTAGAGAACGGTTGACATTTAGAGGTCGGTGAGCTTGAGATCTCTGTTAGCATTTATTGAATGATTGCTCCGTGCCTGGCGCTGTTCTGGGTACTGCCACGGAATCCAGACACCTTTGACTGTATATAACAGTGCCTTTTCCCAGTTGAGTAAAAGAGTCCTAGAAAGGAAAAAGAATAACTAATGGGTGGTAACATGAATACTATTAGTAGTGCACACTGAGTGAGGGTTGTCACCAGGAGAGGTCCTAGTGGGGAAAACATAAATGCTTCATGGAAGAAATGGTTTAAGGTGGGCCTTTATGATTGGATGAGATAGTGACTAACTTATGTGGTAATGCTGGGGACTCGTGGGAAGTCAGGGAGCAGAAAAGCACAGGATGGATGTGGTTGGAGATCAAATAGTCATGTTTGCCTAGAGGGGGCAATGACCATTCCAAGCACAAGAAGCAAATTACAACTTCTTACTATCTGACCACAGAATCCTGCCTTTATAACTCCCTTGCTTATGTACCCCAAAGAAACTATTCCTGAACTTCATCTGTACCTCCAGTTCATCCGTTTTCTGTCCATCTGTACACCCTTATCCAGTTTAGAGTGCATATCATAGTTTGTTTTTATTATCCCTCCCTTGAAAATACACTATTCTCTTGTCCCTGCTTGTCTTTTATTCTTCTGGCAAAATCCATACTCTCGATGAGCCCAACATTTTGCCCTCTGCACCTGTACTTATGTGGCTGAACTTTGCTGGAAAAAGTCCTGGGCAAGTTGATGACATTATAAAATGAAAATGGTCGGCCTCTTGAGTATTTACTCAGTATGGGCCTGAGATCCTTCTGATCCTCTGTTTCTGTAGTAAGCCTGCTTTCTTTCTCCAGTGACCATTCCTTAAACTCTGTATCCTCTCTTCATCTCTTCCTCACTTTCAGCTAATGACTTTGCAAGTCATGTCAAACTCTGCATCTAATCTGTCTACTTTTTTCCTCCTTCACTGTCACACCTTTATCCAAATCATCCACATTTGTCACCTAAACCACTACTATATCTTTAGGCTGTGTGTCCTAATTTCCTCTCTGTGTCCCTCCAATCCCTTGTCCATTCAGCGGCAAAAAATGACATTTTCTTACTTAAAATTCCTCAGTGAAATCCACTGCACTAAGAACTTAGATTAAAATCCAAACTCCTAACCATGGCCTACAAAAATCCTTAGGCTGGGCTCTACTGATGTTTCCAGGAGAATCTCTTGTCATTCATTGCCCCCTCTGCCCTTACCTGCTTTTCCTATAGCTGGCTTGTTAATCTTCAGGTTTTAAAGTATGTCACCACCTTATGTATGGTGGTGTAAGTATGTATGAGACCTTACCAGATTAACCTATCTAAAACAGTCATTGTAGTTTGCCCCTGACCCCTAACCCTACATGTTCTATAATACAGCATCCAACTTCCTTCATTTCACTTACCGCAGTCTGTAATTACTTGTTTATTATCGTTTCTTCTTTTAGACCTTAAGTACCTTGAGGGTAGGATCTGTTTTATTCACCACATTTGCCCAAGCAGCAAATACAATGCCAGGCTCATAGTGGGCACTGAATACTTACTTGTTGAGTGAATGAATAAGGGAACCTCATGCCAGGTCTAGAGGCAAGAGGAGAAAGAGCATGGCATGATCCAGGAACAGAAAGAAGCTGGTATGAGGAATGAGCTGCCCCAGAAGGGTGCCTTGTACCAGATGAAGGAGTCTGGACTTTGTAATAGTGTGGAGCCTTTGAAGAGCCTTATGTGTGGGAGTAACACAATCAGCATTGGTTTTAGGAAGATCACTGTAGCTGAAGAGTGGAAGATAGATTGGACAGAGAAAGACTGAAGGACAAGGTACTTAGTCCCCCTAAGCCTCAGCAACTCCTTTGTAAGATGCATGCCTGTTGTGAAAATGAAAGATACTTGAAGAGCATCTAGCAGAGTGTCTGGCAGGAATTACATATTCAAGAATGCTAACTGTTTTTATTGTGAATAGAAAGTGCTGGCAAGTGATGTTGAAACTGAGAGAGAAGAAATTGGCGACATCTCTGAAATTTTCCGGCCTGAGAAACTACATGTAAATTAGGAACCTGAAGAAAAGGAAGTAGTTGTTGAGTTTTAATGTGAATGCATAGAGTTCAGGTTTGAAAGGATGATGCAGAAGAAGATATCTAACAGGTAGCTGCAGAAGAGGAGGTTTTTATTCTTTATTCACATACCATAAATTCACCCTTTTAAAGTGTACAATCAGTGGTTTTTAGTATATTCACAAAGTTCTGCATCCATCACTACTGTAATTCCAGAACATTTTCATCACAGCAGAAAGAAACCTGGTGCCCATTAGCAGTCACACCCCCACTTACCCCTCTCTCCAGCCCCTGGCAATCACTAATCTACTCTGTCTCTAGGGATTTGCCTATTCTGGACATTTCATGGAAATGGAATCATACAATATGTGGCCTTTTGTGTCTGGATTCTTTCAGATAGCATAATATTTTCAAGGTTCATCTAGACTGTGGCATGTTATCAGTACTTCCTTATTTTCTGTGGCTGAATAATATTCTGTAGTGTGGATATACCACATTTTGTGTATCCATTCATCAGTTGATGGACATTTGGGTTGTTTCCACTTTGGGGCCGTTACGAATAATACTATTTATGCTGTGAACATTTGTTTCCAAGTTTCTGTATGAACATATGTTTTCAGTTTCTCTTGGGTGTATATCTAAGAGTGGAATTTTTGTGTTACATGGTAATTCCACATTTAACTTTTTGAGGAAACTTGTGATTCTTAATCTTGAAGTCCTAAGGAGGGGAAAAAATCTGATGAAAGTAAGATTTGCTCCCCTGAAAAATATAGCAAGTATACACATTTTTGCAGGTGATGTTAAATTTTAGTATGAAAGGATTCTCTGAATCTATCTGTGAAACTTTCAACCCTGTTTTAAACTGTCACCTCCCCAGAAACACCACTTTGGGGTGATTGCTTATTACCATTACAAAATAAGTTAAATGGGCAAAAAGGATTTTCCTTTAAGTTAGATAATGCTTATGTGAATAAAGGATAAGAAAAAAATGCATATATTAAGTAAACGCATGTGAAAGGTTTGGTATGTTCAGTGTAGTAATAAATATTATGAAAGTCATAGAAAAGTTAATTTTTGAGCACTTACTACTCCATTATCAAAAAATATTGAATATTTTTTATCAATAAACAGGAGACTCTGTCTTACAGTGAGGTTGAAGACAGTCCTTGCCCTAAAATAGCTGTAGGTATAATTTGAGGGAAAAGGACACAGATAAAAAGGCTTATAGTATAGTACACATCCACACAGCAGGAGGCAATTAGATGGGATGTAATTATACACACCTTAAGTGCTTTGGGGGCTGAGAGGAGAAAGAGTGAACACAGATTGGATTGGTCTATGCTTCCTAGAGTCATTTGAAGGTTTGGGATACAGCCCGCCCCCCGCACGCAGTCACAGGTCCAGCAGGCCCACTCTAAGGGACTTGAGCACCCAGGGATTTGGTATCCTTAGGGGTCCTGGAACCAATCCCCATCGGATACTGAGGGCCAACCATAGTTTTAATATAGAAATGAGTGGAAGAGGTCATTTCTGATAAAGAGACCAGGAGTGGAAGTGAGTGGAGAAAAAAGCCCAAAGCATATAGGAGGCAGAGGGTGGGAAAGGAAGTGAGGAGACAGTGGAAGGTGTCAGGGTACACAGGTGAAAGGAGGAAGAGCTTGTCCCTGGAGACCAGAGAAGAGCAGGGTGAACCAGAAATGTTGACATGAAGAGGTAAATCATGGGTTTTGGTTTTCTCAGAAAAACAGAGCAGGGCACCACACAGAGTGAGGAAGTGGAGAGAGGTACTGGCGGCTTTAGAGAGAAGCTTTGTCAAGTTGCCATAGGGTGCGGGTGATTAGGAGTCAGTGATAGTGTGATTGGGAGCAGGAAAGGGAACTGGTGGAGGTAAGTGTAAATTGTGGAACTGATGCCTTTGTTTCGACACTGTTTGTGAGCGTGCTCAATAGTTCATTATGCAGAAGGGGGGAAGCAAAGGGTTAATTTTAATAAAGTTTTATACATTGCTAAAAATGAGGTGTGAACTCAGAAAACACTTATGTGGTGTTTTTGCCAAGCACTGTACTAAGCTCTAGGGATGTCAGAGTAACAGGTTTTAACATGCCTTTAAGGATGTAATTTATTTATTTTTTTTTAAGAGATAAAAAGCTTTTTATTTGTAACTATGAAAAAGAAGATAGTGAGGATGAGGATCTTTTCTGCTCAAGTAGAATAAAACTGAATTCATCAGTTTTATATCTGCAGAATTCACTATCACTACACAAATTTCTACTTCTGGAGCTTGCTTATTCTGTACATTGTTCATGCCTATCTTTAAAATATATCCTCACGTAATTTATTTTTAATTGAAATATATTTGACATACAATATTATATTAGTTTCAGGTATACTACATAGTGATTTGACATTTGTGTATATTAGGAAATGATCACCACTACAAGCCTAGCTAGTAACTATCTGCCCCCATACAGCTATTACAATATTATTGACTACATTCCTTATCTGTATATTACATTTTCACATTTTCACAACTTACTTATTTTATAACTGGAGGTTTGTACCTCTTACTCTCTCCTTCACCTTTTTTGCCCACCCACACCTCCCTTCCCTCTGGCAACCACCTGTTTGTT